TCTCCTCTTGTACCCTTCTTTCTCGTATCTCTTTGACTCGGTTCGACAAAGCGGAGCCCATGGATATCCCGCCTCGGGGGCTCGTTGTTGCAAGAACAGAGTCGGATAGATCCGCAAGAAGGGTGAAAGAGACGAAGCAAAGGGTGGAACGAAGAAGAAAGAGGAAGACGAGGAAGAGATAGAGGAGTAGAGACGGTGAAACGTTATAGAGAGGGAAGGCACTCGTTGATTTCCCGTTTTCATATTCAATATGATCTGCCCCGGCATTGTATTCATTGAAAACGAGTCAACCGCACGCAAGATCAGGAGCCGGGCGCCAGAAACGAGAGTGGATCATGGAAGCCTGGCCTCGTCGGTGATGATGGCAGAGCTGGTAGTGGTGGGTAGGTCGTTGCGGTGGTTGGATGGATGGTTAGTTGGTAGGTAGGTTGGTTGGTTGGCTGACTGGCTGGTTTCCTACTCCAACTAATGAAAGGAGACTCCGCGCCAGGGTCTGGAGGTTGCCTGTCTGCCTGAGGTTTAAAGTCGATGTGTCCTCTTCACCCGTGAATCACGACGGGGAGCGGTAACGTTCTAAGAGGGGATGGATGCTGGAGATGCTTCTCGATCATTCCAACCGGGTAGGAGGGAGGAGGTATCTTTTAAGGCGACCTGCACTCGTTCAGATGCGAATCCATCGGTTCGCGCGAATTGAGACGTCCGGCTCAGACGTGGACAACTTTCGTGACTAACCAAACGTTGCAACTTATTTTTGGAAAATCCTTGCTTCTGCTGTACTTAAGTTTGCTTCGCTTTTGAAGGATATTCACAGCGTTCTGCTTTGATAACTGGCGTGTTTAAATGGTAAAACTAGTCGTGTAGTTGGTAATGGAGTGTTATATACAGAGTGAGCCATGTAAGAATGAAATCTGATATATTTACGAAACTGTTCGTGTCTTTTTGGAATGTTTCTTCTTTAATGACATATAGATAGTATTCTATCGTACAAAATGATAGAAGTTAATGAGTCATTTTTTGTGCAATTTCATGTGCGATTATAATACTCTGATTTGTGAAGTTATCTTCTAAACAAAATAATCTACGTTGAAATCGTTTAATTTCGTATAGTATTTCTCAATACACTTACCGATATAGATAATATTTTTAACAGTATTTTGTGTTCTAGTTTTACGACTCACCGTGTATATTTGTATGACGAGTTGAGACTGATCTTGTGTATGTATGTTTGAATGAGTTCTACTTTTGAGTTTGCCTCTTTGAGATAATGAAGAAAATTGGATATTTAGAAGTTAAAATGTATGTCTTTTAGTAATTAATTTAGGAAATATAGAAGTTAATTTGTGAAGATTTACTAAAACTTATGGAATTATGTTTGTGGAATGCTTGTTATTAAAAGAGAAATGTTTATATCAGATCGAACAAATGTTTGTAACGTTGAATGAATAATGATTCAACACGGAGATTTTTATACGTGGAAAATTAGTGGGTCCATCGTCGAGTGTGCCGAATAGTGAATCGTAACGTGGAAGCTCAAAGCGTAGAAATCCACCTCAGCAATATTCAAATTAACGATCCGCCAACGTTTTCGTTCGGTAGACTATTTGGCCTACAAAAACCAGGATCGCTATTTATTCCCTAATGTATTGGATATCCTGTATATCTTGCTATAATAAAAAAAAATGAGTTACCAACCAAACGCCCAAACGAGTTTTATTTTTACATAGTTCTCTAGAAATTCCGATATCCTTCTACTATTAATAATATCTTAAGAAGAAAACTTGAAAATGATAATCCCATTATTATATTTTTATACGAAAATATGAATTCTAAGAAAAAATTTGTTTAAATTCTGACCAAGAAATAAATAAACCCTCGATAAAAATATTATTTACTATCTACATTTATTTATTTTACTAAAGTCCTTAACATTTTAATTATATTTTAAAAAAGAGAATATTTATCAACGTTAATTCTTTTCCTTATAAACTAAATTTTTACCTTTGTAATAATTCAATAATATCTAATAAAGTCTGACCACTAGCAATGATACCAAAGAATCTCACTCAAAAAGTCAATCTATTCCACCTACTAAAACTCTTCATAAATGCAATAACAAACTCATCTATTTCAAAGAAACGTCGTTGATCAAAGATGCCCCGTAAAAGCGAGACGTTTAATCACGATAAGCGCGACTTCAACGGTTGCCAGTCTCTTGTTTCATAATAATAATAACGACGGACCATCCATAAGAATCTCGTCTCATCTCCACCTTCTCTTTCTTGCAGACATCGCTGTGCTCCCTCACGGCACATACGCGCGGCAAAAGAGGCAGCGAAGAAGCGGGTAACGCCATTGTGGCAGAAAAATGGAAGTTCCTAATAGAGATTTCCATGCACTCGGCATTCCATGCAGGGGTAGTAGGAGGGTTGAGAACACTGCAAAAGAGCGATAGAGAGAGAAGGAAAGAAGAAACATCGAGGAGGAGACACGTGTGTGTTAGACAGAGACGAGCAACAGGGAGATAAAAAGAAAAAGCAGCAGTGGAAGGGGTGGTTCGAGGCGAGGAAGGCTGCTCGAAAGGAGAAATATCCGCGAGTAGTTAACAGCAACGACATTCGAGTCCGCAGCTGGCTCGCACCGCGAATGAGATGGATGGCGCGTAGAATGCAGATCGTTGGAAGGGATGCGGATGGACAGACGGACGGATGGACCAGCGAAGGGTTGCGAGCGCGAAAGGGACGTGGCGGTGCATCGACGTGCTCGGTGCAGCCCTATAGGCGACTATACGCGGACGCGCCACTATTGGGGTGCAGCCAGAGTGGTGGCACGGGGCGGAGCGATGCCGATAGGAGGGTTG